AAAAAGTAACTAAGTAATTAATTACTTTTGAAAATAAGTAATCAGTAAAGTAATGGGATTACTTTTTGGGGGAAGTAATCAGTAATTAGTTACTGATTACTTTTTTCAAGTAACTTGACCAACACTGCCTGTCATGTTCTCATAGCCTTTCATGCACCAGTCCAGAGGACTGTCCTTTGCTTTTTCTTGTCGTGTACATAGCTCTTAGTTACAGTCCAAATCAGAGTCTTAGTTTTTCTTAGTCTTTAGTTGTTTCCCAGTTTAGGCCCTTTGTTTAGGTCATTGCCATAGTTTATGTTTGGTTCTTTTTGCTTTACTGTTTACCGGCCCTAATAAAGGCTCACTTTAAGTTCAGTAAACATTTTTGCCTCCTTCGTCTGTGTCCGCGTCTGGGTCCTCCAAACACCCTCCTCACTCCCCAAAGGGAGAACGATGACCTGTGCAAAACCATCCATGTTAGTCTCAAAAACCATGACAAGACCCCAGTGTGTTGGTTCAGTCTTGAAACTCTGAGCATCTGCAGGATCTGCTGAACAAGTCTGGTCCGTTGAGACCTTTCCCCCAAGCTGCAGGATCCAGTGCACCATAGGACACCTTAACCCCCGACAATATTAGGCAGGTGTCTAACAGTCTTGTGCCCAACCTCTGTAATTATAGGTTGGTTTTCCTCACCTGTGCCCTTCGTAGACTTAGAGATGTCTTCAAACATCACTGAGTGAGAGTAGTGTATGCGTATTTATTTTTAATGACTGACCGACTGCATTCCTACACAGTTCATTACCAGTTGACAAATACAAATATCTCAAATAAAGTCTAAACTTTCATTAAGTTGAAAATACAGCTGCTCGTATTATTTCCACTGAACATATAACACCTGTTCTTAAACAGCTTCCAGTTCACCTCCGCGTCAATTTCAAGATCCTGCTTCTCACTTTCAAAGCTCCTCCATATTTATCTGATCTTCTCCACACACACTCACCCCATCGTACACTCTGCTCTTCTTCAGCTTCCCTCTTGTCTGTTCCACCGGCTCGCCTGACTACCACGGGACTCAGAGCCTTTAGTAGCTCCGCCCCGAGACTTTGGATGCACTTCCACCAGATCTCTGGACCACAAACTCTCTCACCACCTTTAAATCACGTCTCAAAACCATCTATTCAGATACATACACCTGATCTGTCTGTATTAGTCCATTTTTACCCGTCTCAGCTTTTATACTTTCATGCTTGTGTGGTTTTGTTTTGTTTGTTTGTTTGTTTGTTTTTTACTTTATGCCTAAATTTTATTTTGCCATGTTTATTATATTTTATTGCTGCTGTTGTTCTTGTTTTATTATAAGGTGACCTTGAGGGTCTTAAAGGCGCCTATAAATAAAATATATTATTATTATTGTAAAATAAATATTCATATAAAGTGTATTTTATCTGATTGTCTTTCCAGCCCAACCGTTTTGGAGTACAGCTTTTAGCATTTTAAAGGCTAGCATGCTACCACCACTTAGTGCTACAAGCCCTCATAAAACTTCCTAAATCAGCTAACGTTTCTGTGTCCCGTTTTCTGATCTGACCATCAGTTTAGGAATCATCCTTCATCTGTTTGTCATTCTAAATATGCCAGTAAGAAGCTCCGTAAGTTCAACAATACTTGGTTCATTTATAATTTTGCTGATTTTTGTTTTTTTAGGTGGAAAATGAAAAAAACGATATTAAAAAAACGACTAACTGGATTGCAGTCTTGTGGCTTCATGTTTTTAGTGATGCATCCGTCACATGCAGGCTACTGACATATGTCAAGTATATATTTGTTGTGTCCATGTCTTAAAATCATCCACAACCTTTAATCCTTTATCTTCTTTGTCACAACAGGAAGGCTGGCCTCATCCTCTCGCAGCTTGATGAGCTCTCCCCCTGGTGTAAGGGTCTCCTTCAGGAGCCAAAGATCGGCCTTCGCAGGATGTCCCTCAAGTTCCTGTCCTGCCGTTACACAGACACCAAGGTCTTTGGGCTCAACTGGTCAGACATGGGCCAGGATGTACAAAAGGCTTGTGATGAGCAGACGCTCACTGTCATGTATAACGACTACGGCGAGCCCAGGGAGCTCTGAAGGTTTCAGATTAGATTTAGACGACAACAGTTTACTATTGCAAATTGCAGTATTTGTATTTGTTGTCTCAAATGCTCCACGTTATTTGAAAAAGCCATTAACTTTTTTAACTTAAATGGCTCCTGAACTAAACATATTTCATGTATTACGGTATCCAGTGGTCTCTAAAGTCAGCTCTAAAGATCAGCTAAGAAAAAGGTCCTAAATGAATCCACGTCTCTTTGCTGCCCTTTGTTAGACCTGAAAGACTTTAAGTTAGTGAACATAATGCAGTCGTCGATGCTTTCACCACAAGCTTCTTTCTTCTTGAAGTTGATCAGTTCTCACTGGTCATTCTTCACTGCATATAAGACTGTGTTGTAATAAGCAGAGGTGTGGACTCGAGTCACATGACTTGGACTCGAGTCATTAATTTTATGACTTTAGACTTGACTTGAAAAAATGACTGTGACTTGGACTTTTACACCAGTGACCTGGG